CGGCGGGCCGCCTTCCGTGAGAAAATTTTTGTGGCAGTTGGAGAAGCGTAACTTTGTGAAGGCAACATCTGTCTTTGGAAAGCAGAATGTCCTGAGGTGATTCTTTGAATCACTGAGTTCTTTTTGGGTTTCACCACGTCATCGGGGAGCCCCTTTGGTGTCCCTCACAGGGACTGTTTCCCGGAACGGCCCACCAGAGTCGCTTCCCGGGACGTGGGGCGCCGGGCTGACGCCAGACTGCCTACGGTCCTGCACCCCTCCACTGGAGCCTGGGCCTCACGACAGCGAAGACAACTGTAGACTTGTTGAAAAACAAATGAAGCAAAATTGTCCCAACTGTAGGATTACAGTTGATGTCACTTTGGTGAACACTGTAAGACTATGGTTCGTTGTTGGGGAAAACGAATTACCACAACTGATTACCGTGTGGTGCTTTCCAGGTGAACAAATTGGGAGATGTGATCTCAAAAAATGAATGGCAATCCAGTTTTGTTTATGTAAGTCAGGTCACATGAGAATCTGAAAGCGTCTTAAAACCAGGAAGCTGTGCACTGGCTGGAGGACAGAGCTGGGCGATAGGTTTGATTGCTTCCTCTGTAGCAATTCCTATTGTCCAACAAATATGGTCTTTGAAAGAGGAAACATTTCATGGCCCAGGCCGTGGTACCAGCTCTGCGCGTAAAACTGTTTCGAGGAATCAGAAAAGAGGTGATAAAACATTTGCAAAAAATAAAGATAAAAAATAAAAATAAACGAGCCGAAACTAAACGTAAACAATAACCGTAGAAGCACATTTGGTAGAATGACACATCATCAAAAGCAGTATGCTTCTTTCACTATGGCCCGTAGTGTTCTGAGTTGAAATTTCTGTAACCAAGATTTTAGCACTAGTAAAACAATTATATTTTGTTACAGAATCATAATATTACCCTTTTTTCTAATCAGGGTATAGGTACATTTATTAATCCTCTGATTTGCTAACCATTCTGACAAGCTGGCCCAGAATTCTCTGTGTCTGTCAAGGCACATTCAGCAGGTCTAGTCAATACCAAGAAAACTACAGCATTTATTTCTTCTCCAGCTGAGAATTCTGCTCAGTTTACTTTTTAAATTATTTTTTTATTTTTTTTATTTTTTATTTTTTTTTGTGCCAACTATATGGTAAAGTGTGAGGATTTAGCAACGAACAAGACAAACACAGCCCCTGCCCACATGGGAAGTTACACTTAGAGCCAGAGACACGGACATTCAGTAATTACACAAGTTTTCTGTTACCATGCGGCAAGAAAGAAGTACAAGATGCTGTTAGAAATTATAAGAAGGGAATCAATCTGATCTGTGGGTCAGGGAAGGCCTGAAAGATGAATGGGATTTGGCTAGGTGATGCAAATGAAGTGGATGTACCATCAGAGGGAATGTCTTATCTAAAGGTCTTTCTGACAGGAGAAATTTAAGGCCAGGGTGGCTGAAGCTCAGTGTTCCAGTGGAGAATGGTGAGAAACCAGTGGCCCAAAGAAGTTTTCTAATTTTATCCTGAGAGATGGGAAGCCTCTGAAAGACTTGCTTTTACAATAAGGAAATGAGGAAAGCCCTGTGGAGGCTCCGTCTCTGGGTTGAGGAAATACACCATTGCTTTCTTGCAAGTATGAGGGCCCCAAGCCATCATACTAAAAGAAAAACTTTCTGCATAGATCTCTGCCTTACTGATACCTAGAATACTGGGTTAAGTGCCAGTACTTGAAATGATCAAATGGCCAAGAGCAGGTCACAATGCACTAATATGGCAGGTATAGAGAAAATGGCAAAGGCACTCCCCAGAAGAAAAGAGTGTTGAGCAAACAAATCCATCAATATCCATTTCAAATATCAGATCACACTATAGTCATTCTGAGAGAGCCTTAGTCACTCTAGCTGACTGATTTGTCCTTTCCCATATGATGTAACTCCCATTCTTGAGGGAAAAATTTAAACCTCAAATTTTACTTTTGGAAGTACTGTTAAAATCATAATAGCTAAGATGCTAAGTGGTTGTATTAGGACATATCCAAATTTCATAAGTGGTTCTATGCATGAAAGAGAAAAAACAATACTGTGAATGTCAACTATAACACACTTTTCCATGTGTCTGATTTTGTTATCCTGTGAGTTAAGCTAGACTGTCTGTGCTCTTACGAATAGTTCGTGTCATCTGTGCACACAAGAACAGGTATATGCTGTGTGAGTACATGAAGACAGGTACAGATCATCTATGCTCATGAGACAGTTATATGCATCTATGTGCAAGGGGCTAGGTACCTATAGTCTGTGCATATAAGGATAGGTACTTGTCATCTGTGCATATAAGAGGGGCGTGACATCTATGCACATCAGGAGAGGTAATCTGTATCTTCTGTGGGCCTGAGAGGGTCTTATTATATCTTCACTTCACTGAATAAACACTATTACATAATTAATGTAATGCAAATTATTCCAGTGCCTATGAAGCACAAAAGTGAAGGTAAATGAAAATATGTTGGAGTTTTTTTTTTTGGTTTGTTTATTTGTAATATATATGACACCAGTCTCCATCATGGCAGCTTGAAGGCCTTTGGAGACAGGACAGGGTGATGTTGGCTAGCATTTAACCTAGTTAACCCTCTGTTCCTCATCTGCAGAGAGGGTTGACCTCACAGAGTTGTTATGAAGATTAAGTAAACTGACATGAAAAAAAGCTAGCAGAGTGGCTAGCACATAGCAGGCACAAAATAATTAGTCCGTACAAAAAGAATTTACTACCTAGGACCCAGTTCTTGGGTCTAATACTGTTCTCCAATAAAATAACTGGGTGCCTTGGTGAAATGGCTGATTCTAGGACTGAGGCAGGAAATACTCAAGAAGATCCTGGAGCATCTTACAGTGCCAGAAAGTAAGGAAGTACTCAAAAAGCGAAACAGAGGTATGTGTCTTAGCTCAGGCTGCCACAACAAAATATCATAGGCTGATGGCTTAAGCAACAGAAATTTCTTATAGTTCTGGAGGCCAGCAAGTCCAAGGTCAAGTGCCAGCAAGGTAGATTTTATTCTGAGACCTCTCTTCTTGGTTTGTAGTCAGTCACCACCTCACTGTGTGCTCACATAACCTCTTCTTTGTGTGTATGACAGGAGAGAGAGCGAGCAAGCTCTCCGGTAGCTCTTCTTACAAAGGCAGTAATCCCATCATAGGAGGGCCCTCATGCACTCATCTAAGCCTAATTACCTTCCAAAGGCCCCATTTCTAAATTCCATCCTATTTGGGATTAAGACTTCAATATATGAATGCGGGTGGGAGAACACATTCAGTCCATAACAGTATACCAAAGGGTCACAGGAGCAAAATGAGCCCCCAGTGCCCAAAGAGCCCCAATGCCAATTTGAGCAGCAAAATAATGTAATATTAGATAATAACCCAAACTGTAAAATAAATATCCATGAGTCCATGCTGATACAAGGAAACGACTGAGGAGCTAAATGTCAGAAGACAGACAAATTTCCCATGCAAAAGAATTCCAAATAATTTACAAAGGTACTCCACACTCAGATGGGGAAGCATAGCTCCCCACTCTTTAAGTGTTGGCTGCATGTAGTGACTTCTTTCTGCAGAGTAGAGCATGAAAAAGAAAAATAAAGAGAAGTTTTACAGTGGAGAAATCTGACAAATACTAATACAGCCAGGTGATCAAGGTCAACATGAATAGTCATAAACCATGATTATACAAAGAGATAAAAATGATATTTGACCTCTTTGATCTTCTTCTCATGAACTCATAACCCCAGTCTAATTATGAGAAAAATACTAGACAAATTCTAAGAGAGGGGCATTCTACAAAATA